ATTTAGAAGTTCTATGTACATCTGGAAAGAAAATGTTTCAGCTTTATTCTGGCTTGTTTAACAATTTTCGGCCATACAAAATAGGGTTGTACGAATATTGTCCTATAGACACTCTGTGACTATAAAACTGCTACGCTGTGTACTGCTATCCAACTCTGAATCCTTGCTGATCACGAGGAAAGAAAATTACATACGTTATTGGTTCAAAGTTAGGATTTAAAGTACTGATATTATTGATACCAACACCTCTTGCTTGTATTCCAATATCTCTGTTCGATGGAGGAACGCCATTTGTACGCTTGAAAACAACTGCAACTTCATTTCTTTTTGGACCGTTGTAACGTCCTCTGTGCTCACCTGCAACGCGTTCGCCCTTGATGCATATATGAATATCAGCAGCAGTTTCAGCACTTTGCTTTCGTAGAGTTTCTTCATCAAATTTTTCAGCATCTTGTAGGCTTCTGCATATGGATTCGACCTTAAAGCTGCATCCAACTGTGTCAGCACTTCCGAATTCAGAGCATTCGATTAAATACATTTCCAAATATATTTATTCTCTACCTGAGAACTTGATCCGAAACTAAAATATACAGCTGGGCATATTGTTCTTGATCAGGATGAGGTGGATGAAGGAGGTTTGCTGGATGACATATGATACCAAGAATTCTAAAACAATAAGGACTGAATCTGTAGGCATTTCTATATTGGCACCCAAGGAAGCAAAACTAAGTAAACAATTATAAGTACGTATGTTAGCAAAAAGTATTTTGAGAGAATTGGTGGTTCCTTTTCATTAAATTACGCCATTCTTCTTGACATCTTACAGTTTCTATAATTTTCCCATTGTAACAGCAGCGCACGTATCTTCCGTGTTCCTTTCTCCTGGAAAGAGTCCATTGCAGACATCGCAGCACAGCTTCCATTGAATCTACACTATATTGCTCAACGTAAACTTCGAATCCACATATTCCTGTATTATGAAAAGTGCTACGTGAATTTCCTGCTTTCTTCATATCGGACTTGTCTGTTATGTGAAGCGTCTTGCGTTCGTCGTTTAGTGACATCCTGTTCTAACTCTTCTACTCTAATTTAATGATGATGATGACTACTGATCTGCTTCAGTGTTTTTAGCATGAAACATTTCTTGAGTTTCTTCTTGTCTGCTGATTCGACTATTGGTTTCTTCATCAGTTTCTTGAGTGCGTAAGGTTTTTTTTTTTTTTTTTTTTTCGATGTGCTTGCTTGCTGAGTCTCCTAGCCGTTTCTTCTTCGAATTATTGAAGGATTTTTTTAAATAACTGCTCCTCTACCTTCTATTACCGGCTACACCAATCAGAAATTCTCGGTTTAAAATACATACTGAGCACGCGCGAACATGCTCCGAAATTCACGCTCCTCCAGAAAGCCAAAATCGGTTTGGATACCACAATTGGCGTGCTTATTAATCTCGTAAAAAGCGCCAAATAAGTAGCCGCTGCATCTGAACCGTTGCTAGCTGTGACCAAAGCAAAATTTATAAGTTCTATATACACCTGAAAACAAAACGCAGAAAAGCATTTTCAGTATGAATGAAACCAGTTTCTTCTTTCCAAGCAACAACCAATTCTTAAATAATTTTTTGTTGCCAAACCAGAGAACAAAAGCATTTCAGATCGTGATGATTTAAATATAATGGGATATAATAAAATATCAATTAATATCAATAAAAGAATTAAGATGGCAATAACATACCGTGTCAGAAAAGCATTTTCAGTATGAATGAAACCAGTTTCTTCTTTCCAAGCAACAACCAATTCTTAAATAATTTTTTTTGCTGCCAAACCAGAGAACAAAAGAATTTCAGATCGTGATAATTTAAATATAATGGGATATAATAAAATATCAATTAATATCAATAAAGGAATTAAGATGTAAAGGAATTAATCATTGTTATAACATAACATGTCAATTATCATAACCTGAAGCAAAAACGTTGCCCACAGTAGCTGTTTATTTAAAATACATTTCGGTAGATAATGACGTCACACGCAGACGCGTGCTCTCTTCAACGTCAGAATATAACCTTATATGATAATAATATACACTCTTTAGCAAAAGCAAATCGAAGCAGCATGAAGGAAGTGGTCGTTTTTGATGAAATTGAATGTGTGTATAGCTCATAGACAGATAATAAAATTATTAAAAAATCAAGGTCATAGTACCTTGAGGTACGTGCGAGTAACACGTGCCTACAGAAGAATTGATAACATTACTTAGCAAAATAGCAATCGTAATTGGGATAGGCATATAGAATTAATAATGAGATTTAATCAGGAAAAGTAACATACGAGTATTTAGATGTATTATCATGGCTTAAGATAGGGCACAGTCCCAACACAGACACGGATGCCGAAGTTTACATATTCCGGTGAAACACAAGACTGAAGTCGTTGCACAGACTGCCGGGGGAAAACTCGTCTCTTCCTGTCGGCCCGTAGGGTTACCTTTGTTTACTGTTTCGTCAGTTGGCAGTTTTCTCTAGAGTTTTTGGCTCACCAGCGGCCGAGCGGTAAAGACGCTGAACACTGGTAGTTCGAATCCCGCGAACGGGCTGGCTGCATGGGCGTTTTCGTGGTTTTCCCCATATGTAACGTGTATACGAGCCAGTTTCCTTTGGAAAGTCCTCCACGAAGGCATCCCTCCCTTTAGGCAGATAGCCCTCGTCTGCTTTGCCATAACTGAATAATCCTAATCCTCTAGAGTTATTTGACTTTGTATCGCCTGTTCCGCGCTGCCGCTGCATACTCCCTCCGCAGTGTCTACGAAATGTGACATACCGATGCGGGGGTCGAATTAATCGTCCAGAACGGATGGTACAAATGTCCGAAGGTTTTTTTTTTTTTCACGCTCTGGGAAGCAACTTGAGAAGAAAGATTACATGTTTATGAAAGCGTGTTTCAGTCTATTCATGGAGATCGTTTGCTTAATCCCTTTTATTTCGAGATCAAACGTTTTATCTCGTCTTTCTAACACTTTAACTCCTCAGGGACTCATTTTTGTGATTACGGGTGGGGCAATCCCGAGGTACCCTAGTTCTTCAAGGGATCACTTTCTAGGTGAGACGGGTGTCACGATCCTGTAGCCCTTAGTGGTATTTCCTCTCTTCCTTTTCATCTCTCCTTCTCTTTACAATTTTCATTTCTTCTGCTCATGTGGTTTTCCTTTTTGGAAGTTCGGGCTCAATGTGTGATTCTGTCACATCCCTTTGTTTGAGTTTCTCACGGAGAGAAAACCACCTGCGCGTCTGCCGTGCGTTGTGACCCGTAGGGCTGGAAAAAAGGGCTCTGGTAGTTGAGAGGCGAGGTACTGTCCCTAACACAGTGCTTTGGCCTCTGCTTCAGATTGAAACGGGAGGTACTTAGCTGTCCCCTCTAGTGTCAATCGGCTGGTCACTTGTCTTTAAAGACAGTGGCTTGGGGATAGGCTTTCGGGAGTTCTTGCTTTCGGGAGAGCTGACTGTGGGGGCTTCAGATTTCGTATACACCCGTATAACCCTGGCACGGATTTCTGCGTCCCCTTGTTGGGCTCCTTGGTGGGTGGGGCTGCCGGGTCCGAATCATTTCTCTCTTCAATATGGCTAATTCAAAATATGTTTCTTAAAGACTTAAAGTCAAATGGAAACGACTCAAAGCTACTGAGGTTATTGATAAATCTCTAAATAAGAAAATACGTTCAGATGCAAATTTCAAGGAAACTACTAAGAATCCGCGCTTCCTTGTTGTCTCTAATCCTTCTGGCGAGCTGCAAAAGATGTCTCCTTTTGTAATAAATAAATACACTCATTCTTGTATTGGTGAACCGAGAAATATAAAGCGTCTCCGCTCTGGAGACTTATTAATACAATAAATAAGCAGAAGGAAGGTAACAGAACTAAATGTTCCAATTAATAAAAAATTATTCGTGTTTTTTAAATAGTAAGCAATTAAAAGTGCAATAATTATGAATTGCAGTATTTACTAATAATGCTGATGTTTTTAACACCATTTCTTTCGATCATATGTTAATGTACTTACTTACTTTTAGCTTCTACATTTTAAAATAGTTGTAGATTACAGCAGTCATATTAAGTACTACCAGTCCAATAATTTCTTTCTATTTTGAAACTCATAAACATACCATAACAGCTTGAACTGTTGTGCTTCTGCATGGATTGCATTTTCAGCAAAATCAGAAAATGCCTTAACGTTGTATATTGTTTTTGGCTTTATATGAATTAATTATGAGCACCAACACAAGATTCCATTAATATTAATGATATACGATATAGCACTTACGACGTTATAACCGAATCGCTAACCCGTGCATCCAAATATTGCACCGTTGGGGTCACTGAAGATTGGAAAAAACCACCATATAATTTTAATCACTGGTAACACATAAAACACCAAATTAGAACACTATTTCACTATATATGGACGATTTTATCATTTCAGTTGAGTAAAAACAGATCATTTAAAATTCTGGATAAGCAAATGAAGAAAGGTTGCTTACCTTTATGATCCGCGTTCTTCGATTCTGGTCCGCCGCTTTGGTAGACTATCCGATTTGGTTTCAAAAACTCATCTAAAATTGACACTATTTGCTCGAAATTTCAAACAAAAGAGGAACAATATCTAAATCATTACAACATAAAAAACACTTCTAACTGCTTAGCGTCATTGTTCTACATATCTAAAAGCGTCACTATTCTCAAAGCGTGCACTTCATCGTTGCCAGTTCTCAAAAAACAAACTTTCTTTTTCGATTCTCGTCGGTCTGGAGGCTCAATCCGTTCCCCCAAGAGCGGAGCTTGCGTTCGTTCGCGACACCCCCCCCCCGATGAGTTTTCACCAAGTTGAAACTCAGCCACAGTCTGGTTGAAAGTTCATGAGGTTTAATCGTTCAGGGGTTTATTCGAATCACTCGTCCACATCTAGTTGTTTTGAGGAGGATTCTGATTGAGTTCATCTGACTGATCTTTGTCAGTGGGTGGTGGCACGAAAATCTGTAGATCCAATAGAAGTTGTAGGCTTATCACAAATATTTTGATCAGAATGCTTCTTTCTCAAACAGTCTCCTATATTATCCGTTTGTAAATGGACTTCCAACGGATAAATTCGTTGTATGGGTCGAAGGATTTCGCCACTTTTGGTGCGTAATTTTACTAAACGAACTATACCATCATTTCCTGGGATGAGTGTTATAATTTTTCCTAGAGGCCACTTAATTCTTTTCTCAGGTGTTTCTATTAACACAATGTCTCCAACCGATAGTTTAACATATTTCTCTGTTTTTAAAATATGGTTTTTCAGTTGTCCTAAGTATTCAGTTCTGAACCGTTTTCTTAGATCTTCTCTGACCTTCATCTGATATGCATACCTTTTTTGTAAGTATTTGGCATCAATAATGTCTAGATCTGGAACGCCACTTTCTTTTAGATCACGAAAAAACATTGCAGGTGTCAAGGGTTCCAGTTCCAAGTCCTCGGAAATATAAGTTAATGGTCTGCAATTTAAGATATTTTCGCAATCACACAGAATCGTAGAGAGTTCTTCATATTTCAGTGAGGCATTACCTAAAACTTTTCTGAGAATGTTTTCCATCAGGCCAATCTTTCTTTCCCAAAATCCACCCCACCAGGAAGAAGCTGGTGGGATAAATTTCCATTTAATTCGGTTGGCAACAATATTCTGAATAATTTTATCCCAGTCAATCATTTTAAAGAGCGAATTTGTACCAACAAAATTACTACCGTTATCAGCGTAGACAATTTCAAGTCTTCCTTGGCTAGCTATAAAACGCCGGAAAGCCAATAAAAAGGTATCTATTGACAAAGACGTTAAAAGTTCAAGATGAATTGCCCTGTGTACGGCACATGTAAATAAAACGATCCACGTTTTCGACCCATTTTTTAAAAACATAGGGCCAGCTAAGTCGATACCTGTCACTTTAAAAACAGAAGAATCTTTAGCACGGTCTTTTGGCAAAGGTGCGGATTGTACCGTGGTAGGCCTTGAATCAAATGTTTTACATTTAGTGCAGTTTTCAACACTTTACGAATAGTTTTACGACTTTTCAAAATCCAGAAATTTTCACGTAGTATTGTCTTTAAAGTCTAAGTTCCGCAATGCATTTGTTGTTTGTATTTTTCCATTATCAGTTTAGAGGCAACTGGATGCTCAGAAGGTAGGATTACAGGTGTTCTAAAATTTTCTAAATCTTGTCTCATTAATATTCTTGACTTTACTCTTAAAAGACCAGATGAAACAACAAATGGTTTTAAATATCGTAAGCGTTTATCTTTTTCTGTTTTAAAGGAAACCCTTTGCACAATTTTCCAAACAAGAACTTCAGCTGTATTCAATTCTTCGATTTCTAAGTTCTTTGACGTTGTTCTATTTTTATCTCTGCAGTTGTCAATATACCTTTTTATCCAGACTATAATTATTTTCTCAAAAGAAGAAATTCGTGAGAAATGCGAGAATTCTTCATCTACATTTGTTAACGAGGATACAACTGTTTTTCTTCTTTCTCGATCAATCATATCTTTGTCAGGAGAAATATCACAAGTAGGCCAACAGTCTGGATTCAACTTCAACCATGCTGGACCTTCATGCCATCTTTGGGCTTTAATAGTTTCAACAGAACATCCTCTTGACGAAATATCCGCAGGATTCAAGTTTCCAGGAACATAATTCCATGTATCAGGATTAGTAAGAGCTCGAATTTCTTCTACTCTATTCATAATAAATACATCTCAATTTTCTTCATTCTTAATCCAGTGTAATGTGTTCCTTGAATCTGTCCAATAAAAACGTAGGTATATTTTCTTCATTCAAATCTTGTTTTATAGATTTCATTAATCTTGCACATCAATTTGTGACTAGAATTATTACCAATAACACAAGCTAATAATTCTAGTCTCTACAAATTGATGTGGGTTTTAGAGAGGAGCAACTCTAGATCGTGCTTGAACTAAATGACAAGAAACTTCATTTTCATTTTCATTTCTTAAATAAACGCAGGTTGCATATGCCATTCGGGATGCATCACAAAATATATGAAAGGATAATTTCAATTCAGAATCAATATTAAGCATCATCTGTCGAGGAATTTTTATTTCTGTTTGTTTAAACGATTTGCATCATTTTTCCATTTCATGTATTTCCTTTGAATTTCTTCAGGAAGAGCTTCATCCCAAGTTACTTTTAATTCCCAGCAGTTTTGTAACAGAATTTTAGGAATTAAAAAATTATAGGGCAGGTGAATCCAATAGGGTCATAAATTTTATGAATTTCAGACAAAATTGTTCTTTTAGTAACAGGTTTGTTTTTTGATTCATTTAATCCCTTAATATCACAACAACTTAATGTGTCATCATGCAAATCCCAAAGAAGTCCCAAAATGTTGACCGTTTTAGCTTCACAAGGATCATCGAAAAAACTCATTCTCATTTAATTTATCAAGCTTTCGACTGTTCTAAAATGGGTTCAACAACAAATGCATCCCTTTTCATTTCGAGGATAGTTATATGCCCACTCTTGTAATTCAAATTTAGCACTTGCCAAAATTTCAGTGGCATCATTTTTTAACTTCTTTAATTCTGATTCATCATTCACACTTGTAACTAAATTATCAACGCACCAGGATTCTACTAATTTATTAACACTCGCATGATAATTTTCTGGTACTTCATTCATTAATTTCGTTAGTGTTACATTGAAGAGAAATGGACTGCTAGTTATTCCAAAGACCACTCTTCTATGCCTGTATATTTTCAAACCCTCATAATTTTCGTATTTCCACCATAAAAATCTTAAATAATCTCTGTCTTTAGGACTAAGTGCTATCTGCAGAAAGACCTTCTTAATATCAGCGCTCACGCCAATTTTTCCCAGTCGAAATGTATTTATTATACCTGGAACACTGTCAGTCAAATTTGCACCCTTTTCCAAACAGTCATTGATGGAAGGTGATGCTTTAGTTCTTACGGATCCATCGAAAACCGTTCTTATTTTTGCCGTGGTGGAATTCTTTCAAATAACAGCACGGTGAGGTAAATAATGAGAGGGGTTATTAACTTCTTCATCAGGAACAATCTCTATTACTTTATCATCTTCCCAAGATTTAAAAATTGCATCATAATCTTCTAAAAATCCCTCCCTCCTTTAAATTCTTCACAGTGCTCTTGAATCTTTTTTCTGCTATTTCCCGATAGTTTGGAAGTGGGGAATGACTTTCAATCCAAGGTAAACAAACTTGAAACCTTCCTTCTTCATTTCTTTTCACATTAGAAAGAAAATGTGTCATTGTTTTTTTTTTTTCTAATTCCCTTTTAGTTTGACTTTCTGAAGGATCTAATATCCCAAGAGTATCAAGTTTCCATAAATCAGAAATTTTACTATCTGATACTAACATAGAAAATGCATAAGAACAATCATATTTATTTTCCATTTCTATTGGAATTTTCTCCATGATACTCCAGCCTAAATAAGTTTCAATGCAAACTAATTCACATTTTAACTTCTTTAATTACTCCATATTTTCCCTGAAAGCAATTTTCCCGCTATGTCCGCGCCTATGAGGATATGAATTTCAGAAGGAGAATGCTTGAACAGCAATTTTTTATACACACCTTCAACATCATTTAAAAATATATTATGGGTTTTTAACTCATTTAAATAAGGCTTGATGTTTCAATTGTGGAATATCAGAACAAATTTTCGCTTGATCAAAAGCTTTAAAGTTACACTGATAATCGTTCTTAATACTACTTAAACGTACAATGAACTGTTTATGAGTTTCAACCACTTCGGTTCCTCCGAACAGACTATGAATCACACTGCTTTCGTTAATACATTCGTACTGCATAGCATTAGCTAAAAATTTAGATACATAGCTTCGTTGACTCCCATAATCAATTAAACACCGGCAGTATTTTTCTGGACCATTTCCACGCACTTTACACTATTAAAGTTTGTAATAAAACTTTCTCTAAACATGTTTTGTTCGTTAAATTGAGATCCTTCTTATTTGATTTTTTTCTCATCTAAACCATTTCTGTCACAGATTAAACTATTGTGTTTCCAACCCACATGAATCACACTTTATCTTCGAAAAGCAATTTTTCGCCAAATGGTTACCCCTTTTAAGGCATAAATAACATATTCCGAGTTTTCGAAGTGATGTCTTTCTGTCTGCTACAGAAACTTCGGGCAAACATCGGAAGTATGTTTTTCATTTTCTGAATCCTCGCAAAATAAGCAGCTGTTGATTGAAACCTTTAACACAGCAGCTATTGGAATAGAAATTTTATTTATTCTTTTTTCTTTAGGAAAGTGGCTCGAATTCTGATTGTTTATTTTATCTTGAATTTGTAACAGAGATTCGCGGCATTCAGTTTCCGTTTTTAAGAACTCTAATAATTCGCTTACATCGAAATTATCTTTAGATTCCCTTTTTCTTTAGAAATCGAGATCCAATTCATTCGGAATTAATTTTAATAAAGCTGGTATCAATTACGTGCCATATGTGCCAGAAGTTACATTAAGTGATTTCAAACATCTTATCTGTATTTTGATATCATCATGCAACTAACGTAATGCAAATATATTGTTAGCATTCCTAACAGGTTCTAAATTTTACAGTTTTCCCGTATGTGCATTTATAATTAAATCTGTTAGACCAAAGCGTGTTTTAAGTAACTCGATTGCGGCAAAATAATTTTCACTTGATAATGCAAAACCACTTACAGCATTACAAGCAGCACCTGATAAAAATGAAATCAAATAATTAAATTTGTCTGTATCTGTTAAATCAGTAAAAACAGATCATTTAAAATTCTGGATAAGCAAATGAAGAAAGGTTGCATACTTTTATGATCCGCGTTCTTCGATTTTGGTCCGCCGCTTTGGTAGACTATCTGATTTGGTTTCAAAAACTCATCTAAAATTGACTCTATTTTGCTCGAATTACTTTATTTGACATTTCACACAAAAGAGGAACAATATCTAAATCATTACAACATCAAAAACACTTCTAACTGCTTAGCGTCATTGTTCTACATATCTAAAAGCGTCACTATTCTCAAAGCGTACACTCATCGTTGCCAGTTCTCAAAAAACAAACTTTCTTTTTCGATTCTCGTCGGTCTGGAGGCTCAATCCATTCCCCAAGAGCGGAGCGTGTATCGTTCGCCCCCCCCCCCCCACGATGTGACCAAGTTGAAACTCAACCACAGTCTGGTTGAAATCCGCGAAAATTAATCGTTCAGAGGTTCGAATCACTCGTCCACATCTAGTTGTTTTGAGAGGATTCTGATTGAGTTCATCTGACTGATCTTTGTCAGTGGCACGAAAATCTGCAGATCAATAGAAGTTGTAGGCGTATCACAAATATTTGATCAGAATGCTTCTTTCTCAAACAGTCTCCTATATTATCGGTTTGTAAATGGACTTCCAACGGATAAATTCGTTATACGGGTGGACGGATTTCGCCACTTTTGGTGCGTAATTTTACTAAACGAACTATACCATCATTTCCTGGGATGAGTGTTATAATTTTTCCTAGAGGCCACTTGATTCTTTTCTCAGGCCGACCCCTGTCTTAGATGAAGTTCGTTCCTCCAATAAACGTAATGTTATAACTCAGTCGTATTTCAAAATACCATTCTTTCTTTTAAGTTTAATTACGCATTTATCAACAGAAATCCTAAGGG